ATTTGAGAAATACAGTTTACATATTTTTGGAAGAAAAGAACAGCAAGCTCAGCAACATCAGCAAGTTTGTTCATTAAAAATGCTTGGTTAGGAAAACTCAGTTACATAGTAGACATTTTCAAAAACTTAACTATCTGAATTTATGTCTAGACAGAAATTACAAACATTTTAATACTGAGCATAAATGTTGAAGCTTTTACAATTAAGTAAGTATAATTGAACAAAAACAATAGAAACATATTTTTTAGAATTTACTAAAGAAAATAATATAGGTTTCTTATTTAAAGCAACATATGATAAAATTGACAGAAAAACTTTTTGAAAAATTTCCAAATAAGGAATTAGGTTGGATCTGGGATCCATTTGCCTTTGGTATTTTCAATTCTAGTGTACCCCAAAAAATAAAAAAGAAGAATTAATTGATATTTCAAGGACGGAATACTGTGTGTTCAATTTAAATCTCTGACTTGCCAAAATTTTGGTTATCAATTGGAAATCAATATGCCGATTTAAAAGGAATGAAACTTATATAAAATTGTATAGCTTATATTTGTATATTGTATAGCTATATTATTAGCTTATATTTTAAAGCTTCCAAAATGCTTATGTTATATTTCTCTGTTATATCAGCCTTGAAAGTGGATTTCTCACTGGAATAGAAATAATTTTGCTATTGAGAGATATTTTTTACTGAAATATTTTTCTTTGTACCATTCAATTGCATCTATTACAAACTAAAGATTAAAGAACTGTTTTTAAAACATTTTGAATTTGTTGCCATATTGATCTATGAAGCACTAGATTAGTCAGTTTTTATTACGTCATTGACAAATATAGTTTTTAAAGAAACAGAAAATTTTTAACAGAGATGTCAAATACGAATGTGTTTCCAAAGCGGAAATAGCTCACCAGCGGCCGAGCGGTAGTGTCGCTGAACACTCGTAGTTCGGTCCGAGGTTCGAATCCCGCGAACGGGCTGGCTGCATGGGCGTTTTAAGTGGTTTTCCCCATGTGTAACGTGTATACGAGCCAGTTTCCCTTAGAAAGTCCTCCACGAAGGCATCCATCCCTTAAGGCAGATAGCCCTCGAGTGCTTTGCCATAAACTAATGAAACCAAACCCAACCAAAACAAAGCGGAAATAAATAATAAGTGATAAAACGAAAATCCAGTTAGAACATTCACATCTTATTACTCTAACAAAGTAATTTGCTTTGATTTAATATTTATAATACAATATATTTTACAATAAGGCAAAATCCAATGTGAAAAATATGTGAAGATTACAATAGTATCTACAATATTCAGCATTTCGTATAATCCTATAAGCAGATAATAATATTAAATTTAATTATAATTTAATTAATTTAATAATATTAAAAATTAATATAAATTTAATATAATAATATTAAATTAAATTTTATCTGAATGAAGTTTTCATATACAGAAACAGTCAAATTACGTAATTACATAAAAGTATGAACTTTCAGACTATATATTTTGTACTGTTTACAAGGGCATATCAAAGTTCTGTTTATGTTACTTCTCTCTCCTCAGCTACTTGGCGCATGCTCAAGAATTATCCATCCAGGAGAAACTAGTCGATTTTTCCGTGACATCAAAAATTCGAAAAGTGGGGTAGGGTTCAGAAATACGTGATCTAGCTGGATGTGGGCCACTGTAATGGCAGCAAATGGCAGGCTTATCTTTGTCAACTAACTGGCCAGTCTTTAAGCTCATGATTTCTACCACAACGCACACAAACCCAGTCACGAGTACATAAAAGTGAGATGTGGAAGTATTGCTAGTAAAGATAGCGTTGTGAAGGGTGAGACCTACGTTTTAAGGTTTCAGCAGTTATATTTATGTATCCTATGTGCTTGATGTGATAAATGTTTTTAGATGCTTGAGGAAGAGGAATAAGAAAAGAGGTATTGGCTTATTCTTCTTTCTGTTTCGCATTATTGTGATGTGATTAATACTTGGTTGTGGGTTCTTGGACAATAGGGTTTATGCTCATTGGCAGGTCTATGATTACAACTTTAATCCCCTTTTCTTCAGGCAGAAGAGATGTATGGGCTTTACGATGCGTTTCTTCTGATTTTACAAACAAAGCGATCATCAGGGGGTTCAGTTTGCAATCTGTCTCCTTTAAGAGTGCCCACTATCATTTTCCTAGTTTGATTACTTAAATTTGAAAGAAATTCGTCGGCTTTGACAATATTATCCACTATTTATGTGTGGAACTTTATTCTTTTGAGTTTTATTTTCAGCGAATTTCTTGTTGATAATTTTTGGAATGGTGGCACGTGTAGTTGGTTGACTATAAGTGGGTATGTTGTCGTGTTCAGTATCATCTAAGCTCATTGAGTCATTATCGGTTTGGAGAAGTTGAAATTTGTTATTAGTTTTAAGATTTGGTTCGTCATTTTCACTCTCAAGATTTTCCAAATTGATGTTTCCGTTGTTTACGGAATTCATCTTCAGTTTGATAGGCTTCCTACTATTGTTTCCATTCGTTTATTTGCTTGTGTAAGAGTTCATTAGAACTTTTGAGTTCTTTCATAATTTCAGTTACTTGATAATTTTCTTGATCTCCTTAATTGGTTGATGGCTTTTGCTAGTAGTTGATATAGTTCTTTGATTGTTTCAAGGGAGAGTCCAACATTTGTTTGATATTGAAAATGCTGAGTACGACTTGTCTGGCGATGTTAGCATTGTTCAATAAAGTTATGTTGTGATTGAGGATGTTAATGAATTAAGGATCTGATAAAAAAAGAGTGAGTGTAGTCATGATCAGAAGTCTTATGTGAATGTGCAGAATCCTCCATGATCTTTGAATGCGCAAGCTCTGTATATAACTATAAATTCAACCTGACATTAGCGCAAGGCTCTCTATCGGAAATTCTAAAGATATGTTCTCTTTAAATATTTTGTGATATTGCTGTTGAATTGAATTGTATGATTTTAGTGCGAAGACCATGATATTTAATAAATAAAGGTAACACACAAAACATTAAAAAAAGGGGACCCTTTGGGCGTAATATAAGGTCTAAAAGCTTTCAGATTTTTTTTTAAATTTTATATTTTTAGCCCAAAGGGCTATTAATTTAGTTTTGCCATTTTACGTTGAAAACTTAAAATATCCGTTTCACTCTTCAAATTGTTGCCACCAAATATTATCGCCCTGTGTTGTATTTAAAAAATTAAGTAATAAAGAATCTGCATAAATGTATGTATGTTTCTCGCATTGTGATAAAACAACGGTACCTAGAGCTATCCAATTTTCAGCTATGTAATTCTCCACCGAATATGGGCATCTGAAAGCATAATTTGGAATTTATTCTATTATCGATTTCATATTTTGTAACACTTTAACGAATTTTTGATTAAAAAATTAACGATTTCGGAGCGAGCAATGACAACACTGTACGGAAAAAAAAAAAAAAAAAAAATCTGATGTGTACACCACATGACTTCCTTGTACGGAATATTAAATTATACGCATCTTTTCTTGCATTTTGTTTAAACTTATTGGATTTAATTATATCTACTTCACCGACAGCGCATAAACCACAATAGAATAAGTGCATTCTTTAAAATTCGCTCTATTTGTTTACCATAGCGACATTCTGGCGCTAGGTTCACTTAATAGTTTTGTTGTTTGACTTCTGAATTAGTATTATATTTCGTTCATATTATAACTCAGAATGCACAAAATTTGTATCATTTAAAGAATTATCTAATCGTTGCCACATGTTCTATTCAAGTACTATAATAAAGTTAGAACGATGCATAAAAGAAATTAAGCAAAAAAAAAAAAAAAAAAAAAAAAAAAAAAAACAGTTTTTCACAGACAATTGAGTATTTCTCTTTCAATTAATTCAGTTCTCATTTCGCAACAAGGCAAAAATACATAAAAACTCAAAATATCTCTACTAAAAATTACTAATTATTAAAAATCAAATTACTAATTATTAAAAATGAAGTAAATCTTAAACACTTATTTCCTCGAAAAAATTCCAAAAAGGATTAAGCATGATTTAAATCATAAATGAAGGCGTTATCTTTGTTGTTGCGAAGCTAAGTTTCTCTAGATTGGCAACAAATCCACTAGTCTCCTGTTTCAAATGTAAACATCAATGGCCGCCATTAAAAAAGGCTTAGCGGCAATTAAACAACTTTAAAATTGCTGATAATTCTAAAAATGTTGCACACAGATTTACTAAAGTCATAAAATCCTTAACCGGAAGATAAAAACAACATAATTCAATCATTTTTAAAGCAAAAAAATGTACAATTTACCAACATATAAGAGTAAAGAAACTGAGATCACTGAGCCAGGTAACAGAGTGGATATATATATAAATATATTTATATACGTTTGGTGCGGCCGATTGCAACCAAAATACGAGGTGCACATCTACACGTTATAGCAGTCCTATATACAAATTTCAACGTTCTGAGGCTACTCGTTTTTTAGTTATGCGAGATACGTACGTACGTACATACGTTCGTACGCACGTACGTACATACGTTCCTACAGACGCCACGAAAAATTCTCTTCAGAAGTCATTTTAAAGCAGTTTTTTAGTTTTTTGGAGGAAAAGAGTCTTTTATTCTGTCCTTACGTACAGATATGACGCAAAAGCATCTTTAAATTGCATTCGAAAGTGGTCAAAAAGGATATTTTCGTTGAAATATGCTGCCTGAAGCTTTTCGCGATTACAATACTTCCTTTTTACTTCGTACAAGGAAGTAAAATCATTTTTATTTCCAGCGCGTGAGGCAGTGTATCGGAAATTTTAAAGATATGCTCATTTTGAAATTATGTGAAAGAATTTGTGAGGATCACCTCAAGATAAGTGACTCGCTTAGCCTAGGGTAGTGCGGTTCCATAAAACTGCAGGTTTTAGGATAAGGTTCGGAGAACAGCTTTGACTTTTGTCTTCTTAGTTCTTCACTTAAGCAACACTAACTGTGTTGGTGTTGGCAGCAGAAAGACTTTGCGGGTGCAAAAGACGAGATTTATGAAAGAAGTGCTTGAGCTTTATGTACTTTATTTTCCTGTCTGGCGAATAATTTGTTAACACGTTAAAAACATGCTGATTAAATTTTCTAGGAATTTCGTGGTGTTATATTTAATTGTAATAATTCACCTTTCTCAGAGTAAAAAGTCTGGAAAGGAAAAGCCTGCATGGGCTAAAAAAGATATCAGAGACTATACTGATGCCGATTTGGAGCGTTTATATGATCAGTGGGAGGTTTGTATTACATATTTAAATTTTCTATTGTCCCACCGTTTTTAAACATTTATTGAATAAAACTTAAAAGAATCTGCTTTTATCCCTAGCGTAAATTGTTTAATACCTAGCGTAATAAACTTAATCTGTGTTTATCCCTATTAATTAGCGTAAATTGCTAATTAATCATACATTGTGCCTTTGGTTATATATTTGCATATGATTAACCAAGTGTTGCATTTGATTTCCAGTATATTTTTATATGTTATACAGTTCTGTGACTGAAAGGGGACATGAAACTATTAACTCTAAGGAAAATTAGTGATGTATAGGTTGGAAGAGAGTTTTGTTTTTGAAACGTAAAACGCAAATGTCATTTTCAGTTTACATTTTTTATATGTGCAGTTAGTACAGCATTTTTTACTGGATTTACTTTTTTTACACTGCTGGTTAAAAGTATTTCTAAAATATAAGCGGCTAAACTTCAGTCATGGCCAGTGATGAGCTATGAGAGGAATCACGGAATCTCGAGGTAGGCTCTGTGTTAAATTTGTTCTAATTTTCGAACTCCTTGTACTTTTTCTTTGGGCTGAGGATACCCTACAGCCAAATGCCTATGTTAAATTTATATGGTTTTGTTCTGACAGGACTAATGGAATGTTGGGAAGAAAATAGGCAGTTGGCAAACTTTTAAATTTTCCAGTATTCTAATTTGACATTTCATAACTAATGGTTTGCAACTAGGATTAGATGACTCAGTAAAAGAATGTTAATGAAGTGAATCATTTTGAAATATTTCATGATAAATTGTATGTTTTTTTACCTAGAATCAGAGAGAAAATGAGATTGGTAAAGTTCTTGGTATCAATTTTTTTTTTTAAAGCAGGTAATTTTGTTATATCTTACACACATATATATATAAAACATACCCACTTTATTATCTAGCTCAGTTAGTTAATTGTTTTTTAAAAATTCTTGAATGTGAGTAAATTGTGCATTTTTTGCTTTAAAAGTGATTGAATTATGGGGAATCTTCAAATTATGGTAACTTGGTGATTTTTTGGTGAAAATTTGGTGGCCAACCCTGCTATGGCAATCTGTGATTTTTTTTTTTTTTTGATGCCATTTTGTTTTCATGAAGTAAAGGCACTTTTCTTTATATTTTTTTCCAACAATCCGTTTGCTGAATTACACTTATGCTAAACTTTTGGTGGAATTAAAGTGCAAAATCATTACGAAGCTTAGGTGCGAAATTGTTTCTAAGTGCTGATTAGCTGAAATAGTAATCAGAATTTTTTGGAAAGTAGTGGAACACACGTGTACAGAAATTCATTTTTTGTAGGATAAATTTATGTATTTAATTTGTAAATCTCTTTTATAAATTAGAAAAATTTGCATAAAAATGCAGGAAAATTTTGTGAATCTTTGAAATCGGTATAAGGGACCTGTATGAAAATGCCTGATCATTAAAAAATTCATATTCTATGCAAGTTTTTATATATTTATCTGGAATATATGCCTATCCAAGGATGGGTGAAGCCCTGGCCCTCATGGTCCCCAGATCTGTCACCCATTAAAAACATCTGCTCATGGGTTGCTGAGACACTTGCCGACTACCCATCTCCAGCTAATACTGTTGATAAAGTGTGGCATAGACTTGAAGCAGCATGAAATGAGTTCTCTGTTTCTGTCATCCAAGCCCAGTTTGACTCAATGCCTAACGGAGTAAGGGACATTTTTGCTGCCAGTGTTGGCAGCTGTTTCCACTAAATTTGCACCCCTGTAACCCCCAAAACTGCTTGCAAATTTAATCATTTTGTCTTCATGCCATACTGTTTACATACAACAAATATCTTTTTTGTATTTGCTTTCCTTCATGGTGTTGCAATTTTAATGGCCAGCAGTGTAGATTTTTTTTTTAACAAATATTCTACTAAATGTTGAGTGGCCTTTAAATCCAAAATATTATTTTTATAGTTTTAATATGTAATCTTATAGCTGTCAGTACATATTATTTTAACCCTTAAATACATGTTTAGTCATGTAAATCAAATCAAAACATAACCTTTAGGGCTGATCTTTGGAATATGGTAACTGGTAGTTTGGCGACATTTTGGAGGCGATAAAGGTTACTACCTAGGACTTTGGTAAAAATGCGAGAAGTACTCTGTTCCGATTACGGATTATTTTTTGAGGGAAATGAGAGTTCATGAGATATGTCATGTGACATTAATGGACGAATTATAGTTCTTTAATCGGAAAAGGGAGGAAATCTGGAAATTTTGTATTTAGCTTTATTCTGTGTTCTGTGAAACAGTGTTGGTTAATTTTTGGATCCCATGGCCCTAACTAAAGTGAATTCGAAATGGGTATTTTAGTGGGATGAAAGGGTGTAATAAGTTTTTTTTAAGGTTGTGCGAGATAGAAGTAAAGACGTTTATTAAGTTATTTATTTTACCTGGTACTTGCTGTGAACTATAAGTATGATTTTAAAGATCCTGAATAGGCGCACATACGCTTGCTTTTTATTTAGCGGAGGAAATAAAGAAAAATTTATCGGCCACGTAATCAAGATTATGAAGAAGATTAGGTAAGTTATTTTTAATTATTTGAGGATATTATTTTATGCATTGTTCTAAATGTAAGGATGGTATTATTGGAAATTGTTATTAGCAATGATTTAGTTTAAAGTAATTAGGATTGTAAGCTAATTTTTATTATTAATGTATGTGCTTATTTATATTTTAAGTAGTGTTTTTGAATTTAATTATATTTTAATTAAATGATAGTTATTTGTGAATTATATGTTTGTAAGAATTTGGTATACGTTTCAGGGAAGTAAACGTGCATGGAATAATTTAAAATATTTGACACTAAGTATTTGTAACCAATTTAAAATTTGAGGGTATGAATTCGTTGGTGACGTTATATATAATAGATAATTGGGAGGTAAAAGTTTTTGGATATTTTATTTATTTTATACGTGGAAATGTTCATCTTGGAAAGGGGTATATACTTTTCGCAATCAGGTAATTTCATATATGTTCTTTTTACCGGATTTAAAGATTCTCAAAATTTTCATGCATTTCGTGAAATTTTTCTAATTTATGAGAAAAAAGCAGTACATGGATATAGTGAAGAGTGTGCGCAATGCCATTTTTGTGCAATTCTGGGATGTTTTTTAAGTAAAAATAAGTCGACATGTACATGGTTTAGTGATATTTTTAATTAAATGATAGTTATTTTGTGAATTTTTTTGTTTGTAGGAATTTGGTATACGTTTCAGTTGAAGTAAATTATTTGCATGGAAATAATTTAAATATTGACACTAAGATTTGTAATTTGTAATGTTTGCGGTATGAATTCGTTGGTGACGTTTATAAATTAATAGATAATTTAGAGGTAAAAGTTTTTGGAGATTTTATTTATATTTATACGTGGAAATGTTCATTCTTGGAAAGGGTATATACTTTTTCGTGATCAGATAATTTCATATATGTGCTTTTTACCGAGTTTAAAGATTCACAGAATTTTTTTGCATTTTCGTGCAAATTTTTGTAATTTATGAGAAAATAGCAGTGTAGATGGATAAAGTGTGGCAATGCCATTTTTGTGCAATTCTGGGATGTTTTTTAGAGTAAAATAATCGACGTGTAAATGGTTTATGTGTATGTGTATTGAAAAACGCGCGAGGAGTTTGCGATTGTGCACTTTTCCCCAATTTTGCAGTTAATGTTTGTCATGATTAAGCAGTTTGTTACATAAAATTTCTAGCATAAGTGTAATTCCACTAGTAGATTGTTGAAAAAAGTGTTCAGTAAATAAAAAGAAAAGAAACATGTCTTTACTTAGTGAAGACAAAATGGCGGCGGAAAAAAAATAGAGTATTGCTGTAGCAGAGTTGGTCGCCCAAAAATCGCCATGTTACCATAAGCCAAAGATCAACCAATTTTAGCTTACTGTATAGTGTAGCCAATTGGTTATGTACTGTTTTAGTATATATAGTCGTGAACGTTTCAGTATAGTGGTACACTTACACCAGTAATGGTGTAACAGTCATTATTGTGAGGACATTATTTGTGTTTACGAATTTTTTATTTTGTGTTTGTTGTTATTTTGATATATTCAGAGTTTTAAAATTGTTTGAACATGTTTATAAGGTACGTGTTATTACATAAAATTGTTATTACACATTTGCCTATCTTTTTTTTTTTTTTTTTTTTTTTTTTTTGTTGTAAAAGGTAATAATAGTTTTTCGAATATTGGAATAAAAACTTAGTTTAGATTTTTTCTAGTATTTTTCCTATTTTATTTGATATCACTAATGTATTTTTGACTTTAAAAATAAAAATAAAAATTCATGCATTTAAGAGTTAATGTTAATTAAATTTTACAGGAGGATGATGAGCCTTTGGAACCTGATGAATTGCCTGAGCATTTGAGACCTAAACCAAAAATAGATTTCTCTAACATAGATACAAAAAATCCAGAAAATTTATTGAAAATGGCTAAGAAGGGCCAGACTTTAATGGCATTCATTACTGTGTCTGGTGAGTGTCTACTACATGTTTAACTTTTTAAAAATTATTCCTGATATAGATTCTTAAAAAAATAAAATAATCTTATTTAACATTATATGTAATATCTTTTTCAAACTTATTTCAAATGGGTGTGTTATATTTGTTTAAATGCTGTGGTTCAAATGAAATAAACAGCTGTTATAATCATAGTGCTCTTTTCTTTTTTTTCTTTTTAAACTGATAATGTTGTTACTAATGAATTTACATTTTATTAGTTATTTGTTTTCAGTTTCTTGATACATGTCAGAGATTTGTTAACTTATGAAAGTAAAAGTTGTTAATTTTTTTATTGATTGTTGTCTGATTGTTAATGTATTGCCATAGAACTAAATACATATCAGAGATTTGTTAACTTATGAAAGTAAAAGTTGTTAATTTTTTTTATTGATTGTTGTCTGATTGTTAATGTATTGCCATAGAGCTAAATATATTTTACTCTGCATTTTCCCTGAAAAGTATATTGTGTAATTTCAGCATTAAACATTTATTAGAATAATATTAATAAGCACACACACATATATATATATATATCATTGGAATAAAATAAGGAAATTGATGTGGAATAACTAGATTCCATTCATAATTGCTGTATGATTTATTTCTTTTATTACCTGTTTAGTTAAACATGGTTGAAAGCAACAGATATTTACTGCAATATAATTCCCAGTGACACCATGAGAATGATAGGTGTCAGTTGATGCATGATAAACTTTATGGTGAATTGTAACAAAATGACTGATTATTTGAATACTTGTACAATCAAAAGTCGTTAATTCGGACACCCATAATCCGAGAATGATCTATAATCCGGACCTCAAAGCTACAAACTTTCTGCATATGCGTCGCATTGACGCATGCACAGAAAGTATATATATAAGACATTTACGGCTGCGAATATGTGTGTGCGCATGTGCGTAATACGTTTACGCTTGCGCGTTTCATGTATAACGGACGGTATAAGCTAAGCTAAAATTATCTAATTCAGTTAATGTTGCAGATTGCGTCATTCCTTAATCTTCGAATTGGATCCCGCTTATTATTTTTTGCAGACTGTTAGAGCAATTTTATAAAAGTAAGCTTGAACTTTCGATTATGTCAAATAGAATTTCCGATATATATTTACTAATATGTAAAGGATCTACAAAGCGAAAGTATGTTTCGAAGTCCATTAAACAAAAAGTGGAATTGCTGCAAAAAATGGATAAAAGCATATCCTTCGTTTCTCGAACCATTCCGAAATCTGTTTATCAATTTCACGCTGCTCTGCGGCCCGCCGCGCCGTGCAATGAATTGAAAGTTAATCTGTCAGCACTATTCTTATCTTTAGGGCAGATGTTTTTATTTTATTTGGCTTAGAATTCCTTACTAAATGTAGTATTTCATCTCGATGTACTCCGTCTTTGATATGATTTAAATCAAATTCCTCATTATTAAATAATTCCTCATTATTATAATTCGCTTCTGATAAAGAAGAAAGTGACACAGAGGTTATTGAAAATGAAAAAATTTCGATTGACAAATTAGTCGGTATTCTCGACACAGCAATTATGGACTTTAACAGCAGAACTTTGTAACTGAAGAAGAAATTATGTCTGTTTATAGAATTAAAGAGAAAGTATTATCACAGAAAATGAAGCAACTTAAACAACTTACATTGAAAGAAATGTTTAATAAAGTAAGCAAATGAATATTAAGTTTTTTTTTTTTTTTGTAAATTTTGATACCCTTTAGATCATAATTGTTCTTTATTTCATAAATTGCGGTTTCATATTTTTAATTTTATAATTTCTGCATGCCATCTTACCAAATTTAAACTGATGATCTATAATTCGGAATCGCCGAAGTCCCGACGAGTCTGGATTGATGACTTTTGACTGTATTTTGTTACCATTTGCTATGTAACAAAATGTACTATGGTACATTTTCATTTCAAAATGTACTATGGTACATTTTGTTACATAGCAAATTTTTTAGCTAGGAGTAATATCTTGTGTATTTTGAGTATACTGATTATGACCATCCTGTTAATGCTTTTGGCATACAGAACAGTTGGAACCTGTCATGGCATGTATATTAGAAAATATTAATAAATATGCAGTAGAAGACTGTACCAGATTTGCAAACAGAGATCATCCACTTCTTGTAGATTAGGAGGAGGTGGTAAGCACCAAGTGGGTGCTTTATGACTTTCCAGATGTGGTCAATAAGATTAATACCCAGTAAGTTGGGAGACCAGGACACCAGTCAGTGAGTTTCTTTAAGCAGCATTGCACAGTTGCCATAGTATGTCCTATAACAGTTACTGGTCCACGAGAACTTCTTTCAAAGTATGATACGTTTATTACTGGCCTGCTTATGTTCTGCAGTACATATGTTGATGAACAAACACCAGAAAGATGTGTTATGGCCATTAAAATTATATAAAAGAAACAAATTCCGAGCAGTTATTTTCTGTTCTTGCATGGTCCAATTATGATATTTAGAGGCGCTATGTAGTTACAGCCTCCCAGATAGGATAATGGTTAGTGAAGCTGAATGCCATATCGATGGGCCTGGGTTTATATCCCAGAAAAGGTAAAAGCATAAATAATACCACGTGTAAACATATAGTGTATGTGTGACAAGTGGGCATTCAAAATACATGGCAAACCAAAAATCCTTTTAAGAGGTTGGTAGTAGGGGAAGAGGGTTCGGACATTTGACCTGCCTTCTTTCGGTAATCTTCAAAATTGGGATGAGAGTTTAATAGTTAGCAAAGCCCAGTGATAGCTGATATATATTTATAGTAATGCACAGGTACAGTACTTCCTTCAGCCTGTACCTGTTGTCTGAAATGTTGATGATGCTAGATTAATAGAGGACATGAGAAAAACGTGTGTTGTAGTGCCCTATACTACATATATATAAAACTACATGTTCAAATATGCTTGGACTTGCATTGTATTTAGTAGCCTGGTGCACTACTGGCAGCTGCCTATTTGCCTTGATTAAGGCAGGTGGACAATCTCCAACATTTGTTGATCAAGTGTGGATATCTAATGCCTTAATATCAGTTACTGGTTTCCTCTTGCTTCTTCATCTTTTCAAAGTTTCTAACAATGGAAGGTAGTGATAAGCAGTGCTATTTTGAAGATGCTTGTTCATAGCTTCCAAGCCATTATAATCTAGTTTTTCTGCAGTCTTTCCCATTACATTTGCACATAGTAATAAATATTAGCAGCTATTAGATGTCATTTTGTCACATGCCATATGCCTTATTTCTGCAAGTTCACTTTTACATTGTAGAGGTCATAATAATGTTTTGATTTATCAATGTACTTTTTATTTAGTCAGAACCATGTATATTTAATTTATGTTTAGTATAGAATGTTGGAATAAAAACAAAATTATTTTTGAATTAAAAAAATGAGCCTAAATAGATTATAACACCAATCAACATTTTTAATGAGATTAATTTGAACACGGTTTCGTACAGGAGTGAAAGTGAAGCAAACAAAGCATATTATATACCTATAAACCTATAAAATTTTTAACATCAGTTTGAAGTAGATCTATTTCTAAGCATACTTGTGAAAAATTGGAGTTTTTTTATTCAAAATTTTTAAAGATATATGTGAATTTACATTTTAGCGCATTTTGAAATTTTACCTATTTATTATAAGCGATAATAACGAAAATGTGGTATCCATACATTTTAAAAATTATTTCAAAGTATGAACGATGACTTTTTCCCCAACTTGTGCACAATTAAAAAAGGCAAAGGAAAATAGGTTGCTATAAATTAAGAAGCTCGCCAAGTGAATTATGCTTGGCACAAACTGAAAAAAATTTCTAAAGATAAATTTTTTTAATTTCTCCATAAATTTTTCACCAAAAATTACAAAATTTAATATATAAGCATAATTTAAATCATAGAATTGAAATATGGAAAAAATTGGTATGTTATTTCAGAAAAAGTCTGATTTTTTTTTTTTGTCAAAATGGTTGATCTTTACATTATGGTAACTTGGCGATTTTTTGGCGACCAACTCTCCTACAGCAACCCTCTATTTTTTTTTCCCCGCCGCGATTTTGTCTTCATGAAGTAAAGACATGTTTCTTTTCTTTTTATCTCCTGAACACTTCTTCCAACAATCTACTAACCGAATTACACTTATACTAGAAATTTTATCAAACAAAACTGCTTAATCATAACAAATATTCTCTGAAAAATTGGGAAAAAGTGCACAATACCATCCTCCTTACGCGTTTTTCAAAATAACACATACACATAAACCATGTACACGCCGACTTATTTTTACTTCAAAAAACATCCCAGAATTGCACAAAAATGGCATTGCGCACATTCTTCACTATATCCATGTACACTGCTTTTTTCTCATAAATTAGAAAAATTTCACGAAAATACATGACAATTTTCTCAATCTTTAAACCCGGTAAAAAGAACATATATTGAATTACCTGATCGCGAAAAAAAGTATTACCCTTTACAAATATGAACATGTTCCACGTATAAAATAAATAAAATATCCAAAAACTTTTACCTCTAAATCATCTATTACATTATACACGTCACCAACGAATTCATACCGCAAGCATACAAATACTTAGTATCAAATATTTAAATTATTTCCATGCACGTTTATTTCAACTTAAACGTATACCAAATTCCTACAACATAAAATTCACAAATAACTATCATTTATTAAAATATCACTAAACCATGTACACGTCGACTTATTTTTACTTAAAAAAAATCCCAGAATTGCACAAAAATGGCATTGCGCACACTCTTCACTATATCCATGTACATTGCTTTTTTCTCATAAATTAGAAAAATTTCACGAAAATACATGACAATTTTTCTCAATCTTTAAACCCGGTAAAAAAAGAACATATATGAAATTACCTGATCGCGAAAAAGTATTTACTCTTTACAAATATGAACATTTCCACGTATAAAATAAATAAAATATCCAAAAACTTTTACCTCTAAATCATCTATTACATTATACACGTCACCAACGAATTCATACCGCAAGCATTACATTACAAATACTTAGTATCAAATATTTAAATTATTTCCATGCACGTTTATTTCAACTTAAACGTATACCATAATTCCTACAAACATAAAATTAACAAAATAACTATAATTAATTAAAATATCACTAAACCATGTACACGTCGACTTATTTTTACTTAAAAAAACATCCCAGAATTGCACAAAAATGGCATTGCGCACACTCTCTCTTCACTATATCCATGTCACTGCTTTTTTCTCATAAATTAGAAAAATTTCACGAAAATACATGACAATTTTCTCAACTTTTAAACCGGTAAAAAGAACATATATGAAATTACCTGATCGCGAAAAAGTATTTACCCTTTACAATATGAACATTTCCACATATAAAATAAATATAAAATATCCAAAAACTTTTACCTCTAAATCATCTATTACATTATACACGTCACCAACGAATTCATACCGCAAGTATTACAAATACTTAGTATCAAATATTTAAATTATTTCCATGTACGTTTATTTCAACTTAAACGTATACCAAATTCCTACAAACATAAAATTCACAAAATAACTATCATTTCATTAAAAATAAATTAAATTCAAAAACACTACTTAAAATATAAATGAGCACATACGTTAAATTAATAAAAATTACCTTACAATCCTAATTACTTTAAACTAAATCATTGCTAATAACAATTTTCCCAATAATACCAAATTCCTTTCCACCTTACATTTAGAACAATGCATAAAAATAATATCCTCAAATAATTAAAAATACTAACTTTACCTAATCTTCTTCAGAATCTTGATTACGTGGCGGATACACTTTTCTTCCTTCTGTTTCAGAATCTTTAAAATCATACTTTTCTTTCAAAGCAAGACACCAGGTAAAATAAATAACATAATAAAACATCTTTATTTCTCTCTCACACAACCTTAAAGAAACATTTATTACTACCCTTTTAAATACCACTAAATACCCATTTCGAATTCACTTTAGTTACGGCCATGGAATCCAAAAATTCACAAACACTATTTCACACAACACAGAATAAAGCCAAATACAAAATTTCCAGATTTTTTCCCGATTTAAGAACAGTAATTTGTCAATTAATATCACATGACATATCCCATGATCTCTCATTTCCCTCACACAAAATAATGTGTAATCAGAACTAAATACTACTCACATTCTTAACAATGTCTAACTAACCTAATCTTCTTAATCTTCCTTACATGGTGGATACACTTTTATTATGGATTCAATAAAATTACTGAACGATTTTTTTTCCGAATTTTTCCTCCAAATTTCTCCGCTAAGTAAAAAGCAAAATTCTCCTTGTCGCAATGCCTAGGAATGGCGCTTTTTATACCACTCCAGGTGCCCTCTATTGTGTTGGTATGCGCACCAGTTTCCGGATCTTTAAAATAATATTTGTGGTTCACAGCAAGATGCTTAAACCCTTCATCTTCCAAACATTGATATGATTTCCAACAATCTGAAATAATTATAGTACCCGGTAATAAATATATTGTTTTATAAAACTCAATAAACATCTTTACTTCTATCTCGCACAACCTTTAAAAAAAACATTTATTACTACCCCTTTCAATCCCACCAAACACCCATTTTCCTTCCACTCTCCTACCTCTCTCATACTTCCGCCTTCCCAAACTTACTCTCATCAATTTCCACAATAACATTCATACCACCAAGCATACCCATATCATTTTCGCAAAAATTCCACGCACACTTTCCTACAAAAAGAATTCCAATCAGCTGCAGTCCTACTACTAATTTCTAAATCCGAAATCCAATAGTCAACTGGCAATCTATTCACCCAATAATAAGAAATCAATAAAATCTCATCCATACTCAAACGACTTTCAGCAAACCACGTACCCTTCCTTACACTCCGTTTCACAAAATGTCCATTTTCACCAGATTTCTTGCACCGCCATTCAAACTTATCAGTAATATCCTTCCTTTCACACAATCTCATTTCATTCCCACATTTTGGACATTCATACTTATCCGCAATTAAACCTACACTCATGCACCATTCAACCAATTCTTTTGAATTATCACACAAACGTATTAAAAATTTCGAATTCACTTTAGACAGCGCCATACAATCCCAAAATTATTCAACCCTACTTCACACAACACACAATGAAGCTCAATACAAAATAATATACATCCACAGATATTTGTCCAAATTCCCCCCTTTTCCGATTAAAGAACCCTAATTCGTCCATTAATATCACATGACATATCCCATGATCTCTCATTTCCCTCACACAAAATAATGCGTAATCGGAACTGAGTACTGCTCACATTATTACCAAAGTCCCAGGTAGTAAGTAACCTTTATCGCCTCCAAAATGTCGCCAAACTACCAGTTACCATAATGTAAAGATCAACCGTCAAAATATCTAAGTTAGAACAATGCTATGTGTAAATCTAATATATATCCTAAAATGGGCTTTTGATACATGGAAACGCAATTTGAATTTCATCAATCGGCGCAGCAGAACCGCAGATATAGAACTGTCCCATTTATTTTTTTTGCACAGTGTAGTACATATGCATACATACATACAAAAAAAAAAAAAAAAAAAGAGAGAGTTATCACCATGCCGAAAAGCATAAACTGCACATGCACTAGCAGAACAGCTCATAAGCCAAACGTCATATATTTTATGATAGAATAATTATTCACTGATTTTATTTGTCAATCTATGTTTCTGTCCTTTGAGAAATACATAAAAATTTTTGTAAATATTTAAATGTGTCGGTTAAGAACGAAGTCAGAGAAGATGGAAAGGTGTCGGTTAATTTAAAATAAATAAATAAAGGCCTCTATATCAAATGAAGGCCAAATTTAATAATTATTGAGTTTAAATATATGTTTAGTTATTGTACCTGTAATAAAACTATGGAATTTTCAATGGAATGACATAATTGCAGTTAGAGAAATGGGAAATAATAACACAAGGTACATTTCTAAAATTTTAGAAAGAAATGTACTGTTGATATTAGCATCAGTTGTTTATTCATAAATTATTATTATGAACAATTTTGAATTTGTTTATATTTTTTAATCAAAAGTTGTTGATTATTTATATTTTCTAATATTTTTATCATGAAATCATAAGGAAATTTGGTGAATAAAATTCTGATAATATAAAGTTCAATATATTTAATTGCATTCTAATTTCCAGAGTCGCCAATATAGCTAGTTGTAAAAAAATATGACCTAGGTTTATTCATTTTTATAAGCTTTTATTTAGCACATTCATGGTGCTTGTAGCTAGAGTCATTTGTAACCTTTCCCTGATAAGCTGTTGAGCTCAAATTTTGCACAAATGCTCTTTGCGAATGGCAGTGTAATGTGGTTAAGTAATTTTTTCAAAATTAATTTTTTAATTCTAATGTTGAAAAGATTTTTTCACACATATCTGCATTTAACAAACAAGTGGAAAATCTCAGAATTTACTCATTGCACCATCAGATAGAGCAGAAAAAGATCTTATGCACAATTGTTAACATAATTTCTGATTTTTGGTGAATTTTTGAAAGTTGCTCAATTTTTCCCAACTATTTGATGCTTATCATTTTTAAATTCCAACATAAAAATATATGTATTATTATGTTTTGAAATTTTTATAGGCAATAAAACAAACTCTTTGTCTTCTTTCAAAACAGAAAGATAAAAAGATTATAAATTGTTTCTAAATGATTAAAAGATATTAATTGTGTGATTGTCAGGAATATTTTAAAACTATGGCATGCTGGGCCTTAAAACAGAAGGGGAATTTTCCACTATGATGATATTATATGTTACATTTTATTTAACTCACTAATAATGTCGGTCGCTAAGGCCAAGCACTGAGATTGATTTTTTTTAAACTATTCCATGACAAGCTGTCGACACATAATATGAAATTTTCCACACACACTTTTTGTAGATAACAGTGCAATATGATGCCATAATATTCCATTAAAAATATTTCAATACATAATTTGTAGTTACACAGATATGATATTTCTAACATGTATAACTTAGAAAGCAACTCACCTGGTCTGGTATTCTCCCACAACAATCAAGATTCACCCAGGAGTGGTGGAATATGTAAGAATGATAAAAGATATTAAACTTTTATTTAAATTAGCAATAACCCCTCATTGCTTAAATTTAATTTATTTCCCTTCTCTATTCTCAAAGTACTAATTTCTTTCTGCATTACATCATTTCGAGACTAATCCATGTCGTATGACATTTGCATAATGCTGGTGATGTAAATGGAACTAAAACTCAGTCAGACAATAATAATTTTACAGCAGTATTAATTGTCCAATCAGATGTATTGAGAACCAAAATTAACTCATTCTGAATTAAGATTTCATCCTCAATACTACTAACTTTTCTTCACTTTGGCCTAGCTGAACTGCAGCTTGCTGCTTTGTTCTTACTGCAAAGCTATCAAAAATGTAAATGTTTTGAAATAAGCATGGATATTGTTTGTGGTTGCAACATGTCTTTTAAACTGAAGATAACGATTTCATCTACCTCGGCTGCTAAGTTGCTCTTTATAATGGATTCCCATGCTCAGTATCTATGAAAGGCAATATTTCTGCTTCTGCGCTAACAATTTTTCTTCTATATCATTGCTTCTGAGTTTTGCTTTCATTACATATATCTAAATATATATACATTTTTTGTTTTGTTTTGTTTTAGGCAATCCCACTGAGCAAGAAACAGAAAAAATAACTTCTTTGTGGCAAACCAGTTTAATGAATAATCATATAAATGTTGAGAGGTAATTTAATATCTTTTCTGTACCTTGAGATGTCTAACATTTTCCTTAGTTTCCTGAATTTTTGTAATGACTATTCAAGTAAAAATTAATCTAAATTATGTTTGCTCAATCATAATTTGTGAGAAAGAAGAAAGTAAACTGCAATACTGTGGATTTTGTAATTGCTATCAAGGGAAAATTCATTAAAAAAATTATATACATAAAATAAAGTATTAAAATTCATATTGTATAGGAATTAATAATGCAGTACAAATGGCATTGATAGTTAGAGAAAGTTATTTCACACCAAGAAGCGTATTTTGAACATAACAGAAGCACCATCACATCAAATTAAAGACAATAGACCAGGACTAAGGGGAAAGGGGGAAGGAAAGAAATAAAAAACGATTGAACTTTAACTGATATATATTATTTGAAATGTGATTCTTCTGTGTTAAGGTTATCGGTGACATTTTTAGATAATAAAAGGAAAAACTTGTAAATGTCTATTTTTGATACACATCATAAGAGAGATTGTAACCTTATATTTTGAATTTTTGAATCTCTTTGGGGGTGGGTGGAGAAAAACCATTTGAGAGAAATGGCTTTGATTTTGGGAGGAGAGGGTAGTCACAAGGGAATAAATTTGGAGAAAGAAGGGATTATACTTACTTGGTTTTGAGATTAGAAAATTGCTATATCCATACTGATCAGTGTGACTATATGCTACAATGCATGCGAAGAAATAATTTTTGACTCGATGAAATAAAATGCATTATTAAAAATTGTCTGCATATTTTCAATGTTAAAGTTATACAACAGTTTATTTATTAGTTTTCAAAATACATTTACATTATAGTTTTTATTGAATTGGTAATTAAAATACTAGTAGTTCTTATTTTAAGTGTTATATATGTATAAGACATGCATTTCGTAATGACAGGAAGAATAACTAAATATATCCAATTCGGCCCTTATCCAATTCGGCAAAAGTTTATAGTACAATTTAAATTTGATTAATACTGGCTTAGAGATATGAGATTTAGGTGGGACTTTTCAATTGCGAGTTGGCTGTCAGTTTGTTTTATGGATGACAATATTTTTCTACACAGGGCTAAAGTGATGAACAAATATCTTCAAAATGAAGATATTAGGCATATATATTGGTCAGCTAGATCTTCAGATTAACAAGACAGGGATGTACTTGGGAGAGTAATTGCAAGTCACTAGCTGTTTTCAGGAATCATTTAGGAGCTTAGAATAGCTTTGATGCAAGAATGGATGCCACAGAAATTCATCAGCTGTCTCATAACTCATTTTGTGATCTGTATGTTTAATAGAAGTTAGCATATTCCTTATTGGCTTCATTTTATGTACCATCTTGAAATGCCAATTTTAGATAGTCTTGCTCTCATGAGCAGTACTCATATTTATTATATTTATGATTAGTACTTCCAGTGTTGTATGGTATAATTGCTTAGCATAAATTGCAATCTTCTACCAGATTTCATTAATTTCTGCTTAGTATTTGAGAAATTTGATATATATAGATAGCAGTTAGAAAAATTTGGAACTTATTGTATTGAGAAAATATTTTGTTATCCGAGTGTTGGGCAAAAATTCTTTTATCTAACTATTAGGCATCATTTCTGGAAATAAAATATGTAAAGATTTTGTGACTGATTGCTTTGTTAACAAAATAGAAACAAAGCAAGCACTATGTGCAGTGTCCAAAAAACACATTTTTTAATGACCCATATTTCTGTATTATTCAGTAAGCATACTGCATTTCCTTTCATATAATTGTGAGTAATGCATGGTTTTATAGATGATCGTATAATTCTGAGTATGAATATGTACATAATATTTATGATATGAATAGTGATACACTTTAGAGGTATAATGTGTGCGCTTAAGACTCTTTAAAACTTAAACAATTTTTCATTATTTTATGAAATGTATTTTTAAATGTTCTTTGCAGCTACATAACTTCTCATCAAATGCATTTTTTTTAAATAAAATCTGAGTTTTTATTAATAACTGGATGTTATGTAATAGACTCAAGTTTTTAATATAAAAAATAAATTTCAAGTGCGAAGGCATATGGGCAAAAGCCCTTAGACAGGTAATGTAAAAAATTATTATTATTATTTTTTAATATAGATACCCGATAGGGCAAGACAGAGTTATATTTATGTTTAAAGATGGCAGCCAGGCATGGGAAGCAAAAGATTTCTTAGTTGAGCAAAAACGAATGGAGGTCGTTTCTATAGAGAATAAAGAGTATTATGGAAAATATAGTTCTAAGGTATGTTTTTTAAAGCACTTTAATATTTTCTATTTAATGATGCATAAGGAAAAATTTGATATAATTAGTAAGAAAATTTTTTTAAAGAATTTATATTTGTATATAATTTTATTGTGGTCTTATTTTAATTATATATTTTAACTTACTTTCTTTTTGCTTGATTTAAAGATATAAATAAATATTTCATCTATTTTAAGCCAGCTTAAGAATAAAAAAAACATTTAGTGTTTTGAATAATTAAATTTAGTATTTATAATTCTTATAATTTTCCTAAAAATATGAATTAAAATGAGTTTTGGAAATTAGTAAATGTTATACAGTGAACTTTCTTTAACATATTAAGTCTGAGTACTGGACATTTTTGATTTGCATAAATAATCATTTTAGAGAGGTGATACTCATATTGTTATCTAGTTAGGTTCTAAAAAATACTTATCATTTTCAGAAGTGCTTATATTACGAAGATAATCACTACAAGAGGTCTCATTGTAATACATCCGTGTGCTAAAAATGAAATTTTAAGTTTTATTTGAGTGAATGGGTTTTAGCAGGTATTTTAATACAAATTTGGAGTAATGTATGCATCATGTCACTAAGCAAGATCAAAATTTGTTAGAAATGCAAAAGTAATGCTTTGGAAATATTTTCAAACATTATATAAAAAATATGGTCTTAATTTTACTTAAAAAAGAACATTTTTTTATCATACAGAAATAAATGCAAATCCCTTAAAACTGTTATTCCAGTATTTTGCTTAATCAGTAAAATGGAAATATTCCATGCTATTTATTATCTTCAAAAATATTATTCCTGGAGATGGCACTTAATGTTGCAATTAATATTGTTATTCAGATATTGTTATCAATTTGCCAAAGTCCCACCCATTTGCATATGAAAACATGAAAAATGCATCACTTTTTTAATATGATCATACTGTTATAGAATAATTTTTTAAAAATTAAGTTGCTTAAAGAAATTTGCCCAATAAGGTTAACATTAAGTATAAAAAATACTAGGTGACAGAAAAATATTGCCAAGTGAGGAGTTAAGTTAACAAATAGCATAGTTTTAATTTCAGTGTACCATTTTAAATTAAAAAAACAACTTAAGTTTGACATGGATTTTGTGGGGTAATGAGATGCCAGTCTTTCTTATGCAACGGGGTAGGGAGTGCATAATTTTTTTTCCTTGGGGGGGGGGGGGAAGATAATGTCTCCAACAAATCAAGGTTGCTTTTATGCATAATTTAAAATTTTACATTGGCAAGTTCATCTTCAATGAGGGATGCCTGAAAATTATGAGTAAGGGTGCAGCATCAGTCAGTTTCCAGAAACATCATGAACAGTCTAACTAAAATGCTGTGAAAATATCTATTTGTATCAGGGTTCGTAGCAGTCCTTATAAGTCCTTATATTTGAAAGTAAAATATAAAGGCCTTTATAGGTGCTTACTTTTTCTTTAAAGCCCTTATTTTTTGGTTTTTAGTGCTTATTTTTTGCTTTTAGTGCTTTTTTTTTTTTTTTTTTTTTTAATGAACGCGCTATTTTTCCCCGTACCAAAGCCGAAACTAAATAAACAACTTTTCTTCCTAATAGAAATGTCATGGTGAATCATACTCCCAGAAATAGCTTTTCCCCCTGTCTCTGCATTAACATAACCTTTGGTGTGCAAGAAGAGTACAGACAGGTGCCCGTCGTTCTATTGGTCAAAGAATTGCGAAAGCAGTAGAAAATTCCGGTACATTGGGCATTTTTCTCCTCCCACCCAAATACTACACACGTTTGAATTTCTATCAAGATCTAAATAATTTGCATTCTCGTTCCGCGTGGTCAGTTCATATTCATGTTTATTATGATCATTATGCTTATATTATGAGCATACACAGATTAGCTGTCTAAGGAATAATATTCGGAATGGCTTAAATAAAGGGAAAGTAATCGAATATTAAAAATAATTTCATTTTTTTGGTCAATACATTATACTGTACGAAGATTGGGAGGTTCTCCCCATTCTCCGCAAAATCTCGAATATTGAAACTGTTATAGTTTGCTGCAAAACAAGCAGCGGATTTTTTTTTTTTTTTTTTTTGGTCACTTTCCAATCTGGATTGAATAGTTGAATAGGACTAAAAATTCTGCGGTCTACCAACCCAAATGAAGAATGATTCTATTCCGGAAATTTAACGCCGTCTGTTGAAAATTAGAATGAAAAACACCCCAGATTGGTAAGTCTCATTCTTTTCCTTTATTTAGTTCTTTATTCTCCCGATACTGGCAGCTGTTGAATTCCGATTGCGTAATATCACGTAGGGAAAGAATTATGGCACACGTATTGCACAATAACGTTCGCGATATTTTGCAGGAGATAATTAGTTTTGATGTTCGTTCCGAGATTTGTATTATGAACACTTTAAAGAGTTTTACTGTGCCTTGCTAAGCAGAATATTTTTCTGTTCCATTGGTTTATTTTTATATGATGCACATCATCGAAATGTCAAAAGCATTTATTTAGCGGAAAACGTCTAAAGAGCGGCTACAGTCTACCCCCCCACTCCTCTTTCTCAAGTTATGCTCGACTGTCCGAATATTCACCAATTTCCAAGTATGCTGGTTAGTTAAGCTTTTACTGTTAAAGGATGACTGCATGAAGCACACTGTCTTCTGATTTCAGAAATGTTCCTCTTTTTTACCTAAATTACTTTGCTTGCAATATCTGTTAAGAAAAAACTGATATACAATGAAAATTTAGAAAATGTTCAGAATTTAGATTTAAATTATTTAAATATCAATATGAGTGGGAAAATAAATTGTAGTATTAGGTTCCAAGCGAATACAATAAATACCTATGCCTTATTATTATTTATTTTCTCTATTTTGAACTGAAATTTCATCATTAAATCTTGTAATATAGTTTAGTTCTGCATAGTTTTTTTTTCCCTCTCATTGTAAACTAGTTCTGTAAATTGAACTTTTATTTAAAATTTAAAAAAAAAAGTAATTATTTTCCATGGTTGAGGTAATGCTTATTCTCTCTTAATAAATACTGCTTTTCTCATATTTTAAATTACAAGTCTAATTTTTAAGGTTATGCAGTTATGTATAATGTAATTAGACAGGTGCTTATTTTTTTTTTCTTAAAATGTGCTTGAAAAGTGCTTATAGGTGCTTATTTTTTTAACTAAAATGTGGCTATGAACCCTGTGTATGTTTATTATGATTTTTACATTAAATTAGTTTAATTCTGTTGCTATTTGGAAGGATATATTTTCTCATTGTTTAATGTTATCAAAATAGCCATAGGCAAATGTGATCAAATTAAGCAGCAACTATTGTATAGAGATCTTTGTCATAGCATCTGTCAGGTTTCAGGCACCTCTACTAAAGAGCTAGTATTGAGATATGCTATTATATTACAGTATAATAGTGTGTTAGAGATACAGTGGTACCTTAATAATAATCTGCTTTAAAAATATCCAGTTTGGTTTACAACCTGTTTGAATGGGAAAGTTTTTATTTGGTATATGACATTTGTTTGAAATGCAACTCAAGTTTGATCATGCCTGGGCACAGTACACTTATATCTCTTTCAAGAAATGCCAAAACTGAGCCTCAGTATGCCTGTTGCTACTTTTCACTAAACAACTCATGCTATAATCTGAATTCTCAAGTGATTTTGTATTTTTTAGGATAAATGTTTATTAAATTCGTTAACAGCCTGTTAAGCACTGAAGAAAACTGTTATGGTTACCATGGAGATGGAAAAAAAGAAGCAATTGTTAAAAAGTATGAAGACAGCATCTGGAACTTGGCTATTGCAAAACCATATGCCAAGTATAATGTTGTCCATGATTATGAAAAACAGACATGATTAAATTTGACTAATGTTGTGAAGAAGGTGAAATCGATTATGAAACAAAGATCAGAGCATGTTGAAAAATTGTTTTTTTGATTTGGATAGTAGAAGAATATTTACATGCTGTATTATGTACAGTACTTCATATATGTACTGTATATGTTTCACCCACTGCATTTAAATTTTAGTATCAAAAGTATTATAACTATAGTTTTTTAATAAGCGAGGATTAATTATTTTCCCTTTATTTCTTTTGGAAAAATTCGTTTGGTGTACATTGAGGGATCTAGGACGGAATAATGAAGTATACCAAGGTGTCACTCTATGTCTGATTTGTTGAAAATCAAAATGATTTACACTTAAATATTTTCTAAGGATTATGTATCCTTAATTTTCTTGTATTTGTTGTTTTCAACTAAGCATTCCCCAATCTTTTATATACATATTTTTTTGAATATATAGCTTCATATATTTAACTTTTAAATGCATCTTAAGTGATATGATTTATCTTTTTGACAGAAAAATAAAGGAAAGAAAGATGAGTTATGACACTGATGCCATGTTAATGTGTCCTGAAAAGAATATGCATTGCTCATGTGTATATCCTGAATCTCTATTTTTTATATAGTATTTCTTTTGCAAATATAACTTTTCCAAAAATGTTGTAAAGTGTATGCTAACTGAGTATTCTTTGCATTTATTTTATACTGAAATTTTTGTACTTCACATTGCATTAAATATACATTAGATTACACAAACTCCAACAAATATTCATATATATTTAATATACTGTATTGAAATTTATCTGATAATTTTAACTTACTTTTTTTTTATTTTGGTTCCATTAAATGTATTTGTTTTATTTTGCTTTTGTAAAAGAACAAGGTAAATCTTTCATGTAAATTTTCTCTTCAATTATGGAAATTCTTTTGGAGGAGGGGGAATATCTGAATATTTTAATTTTGCAGTGTGAAAACTTAGTCTATTACATTTTCTCAATAACATAATTTGGAATTATTTTATATTATATATAGGTTAGACAGTTTTTAAAAATTTCTTGATTTGCTATCAGTATTGTTCTTAATGAAGTTCAGGTGTATATATATTGTAAGGATGTATATTTTTGTTGTTCATGTTAAACCTTTAATCATGAAGTTATATTTCAAGATTATATGTGTTAAATTAAGCGATGCTTATGACAATTATTTTCTTTTAATAGTAAAGTATAAATTTCAAATTGAAAAATGATGTCCTCTCTCTTTAATACTGAATGCAGGCTGACAATAGTATGCTTTATTGTCTTTTAAATTTATTTTGGGTTTTTGTTGTTCATGTTATTTTTTATTTTTGTTGTTCATGTTAAACCTTTAATCATGAAGTTATATTTCAAGATTATATGTGTTAAATTATGCGATGCTTATAACAATTATTTTCTTTTAATAGTAAAGTATAAATTTCAAATTGAAAAATGATGTCCTCTCTCTTTAATACTGAATGCAGGCTGACAATAGTATGCTTTATTGTCTTTTAAATTTATTTTGGGTTAATATATACAATTTTTATTAACAGAGGAAGAAAGAAAATGTTATTAAGTCTAATTAGATTTTGTGATTAATTTATTTATAATCATATTACTGAAATTGTTATGAACAAATACTGCATTAATGCAATATGAACTGTGCATTTCAATTTTTTCCCTTTTTTTTTTGATCAAATGTAATTTATTTATAAACCATGAACTACTAACTTGAAGGTTTTCATTCTCATACATTTAATTCTGATTGCCAATGTTGCAAAAGGTATATTGAACTCTTGATTATCTGTACTATTCAGTGCATGAATACATAACAATCCCAAAATATAGATGTTCTGAAAATGGTCTTGGGTACCATGAAAAATCAACCCTTTATTGGTTTAAAGAAAACAGCATATATTATATTGTGTAAAATAAGTTTTAATTATAATAATGAAACTTAGATTTACAGCTGTTCTTATAACAAAATTCTTAGATAACTTACTTGCAGGTCAAGTTGACATTATTTTGTGCAATATTACAAATACTACACAAAGTTAGGATGTCATTGTTCTCATTTTCAGTTTATTGGCTCATACTGTCTTAATAGCTTATCTACACAAATCAGTGCTAAATGGTTTATTCCCCTCCCTGCTATTTTATTCTAATTTTTCTATGTTACTATTTTCAGAATGTTACATTACTGAATTCAGAATATTTTTTTTATGATAAAAATCCTATATCTTAGCAGAAATGAAAGCTGTGTAGCAAAATGAACTGTTCTTCCATGCTTTCTTCATTTACATTTTAGATCTTGATCACCCAAAGCAGTTTTAAAAAGGCTTGATGTATTACATAATTTCATGGGGAAAATCTTCCTCCTTTATAACGCAAGGGATTAGTTTTTCAGATATGAATTAGTGTTGAGTTTTTAACTTTATTACAAGGCTTAGCAATAAATTGCATCGCAATAAGATTTGTGAATTTCCTCAGAAACTTTCAAGTACAATTGTCAAAGATATTTTTTTCTTTATTAGATCACATATACACACTATAAATAAATAACCAGGAAAGATCACATATAAATAACCAGGACTTCAGTGCATTTACATCAGTTTGCCTTTTGAGAACAGTTTTATTGAAAATCCAGAACACATATTGCAGCTAATATGTATTCATTTCATTTTTTCAAATGTTATAAACTTTCTCTGAAATAATCTTTTTTATACTAGAACTAGGCCATTGAATTTATGTAAATTTTTTCTTTATAAAGTAGAAAAGTATTCTCAAAACCTATAACTTCAATTTAAAATTTGATTATAATTTTTGAATTTTGAATATTTGAACAATCATGTATGAAATTGTACCTGAGAAAACTATTGAATTTCATATGTAAGAACTTGTCAATTATAAATAGCTGCAGCTTATATATGTTTGCTGCCATCATGTCTGGGTTTTCCTATGCATTGTTAAAAATGAGTTCAATCAGATTTTTTTACCTTCATGTGTTGTAATGGGAAAAGGAAATAAAATGGTTGCATATTTATTCATTAAGTCTCTTGTCTAAATTTAAATTTTTCTGTGGGGTTTAATTACATTAACTGTATTTCTTTATTCAGTTCATTCTCATAGAATTTATAGTCTGAATTAATAATCAAAGTAAGATGGGAAAAACTGTAAATGTCAGATGTATGTGCAGAGATATTGTAGTTTTCATTATATTATCAATAGACTGAGAAAGCTGTTTTTATCTAATTCATGCTTGATCTATTATTAATTTTAAAATTTCATTTGAAAAAATCAATAATTTCAGGTTTCATCTTTCTTTTATAAAGAAGCCCACAAATGATTTAGTGAATTCTAAACACTGGCTAGTTTTATGTGGTATTTCATTCTTGGGCTGGCTGTGTGGGTGTTTTTATGGTACTCCGTGTTTTAAGTTAGTTTCATTTAGAAAGTTGTGCATGAACTTATTGAGGCAATAATCCCTTTGCTACATAAACCTGAAAATTGTGTCCAAGGATTCTCATTATGTGATTAACTTTCTTTTTTCAGTGATAATTTCTAGTTGAGTATATATAAAATATTAATAAAAGAAATGTTTAAATTTCAGATAAAATAGGAGATTTGTAATCATGTTCTTCTTAATCATCATCATATCATACTAGTTCAATATTAAATTACCATAAATTCTTTATAAAAAAAATTGCAAAATATGCATTTTATCTTTATAAAGCAATAAATGGATGAAAACTGATGATTGTGATCTGGAAGGAGATGTTCTTATTGATATGCAGCCAGTCCAAGAATAGTAGTTGTGTTGAACATAATTACCAGTATTTGGTAATGTATAAATTAATTTTAATAATAATTAACCAGTATTTGGTGATATATAAATTAATTTTAAGTAGTAAAACTAGTAGAAAGGTATGACCATATACAACCATTTATTTCAGTAAAAATTTTGTTGAAATTGTAATCAATCCAATAAAGTGTGTTCATAGACATATCTGATACATAGTTTCGTAGACATACTTGATTCAGGATTCATATTTAAATTATTTAAAAATAAATTCCATTAATTTCATTATATACTTAAATTGACCTGAAAGATGAGCAAAAACTATTGTTTGCATAAACTGAAAGAACCAAACTTGAAATCATTTGATTTAAATTAGGTCAGACATGCATTCTAAAAATTTCATGGAAAAAACAATTTAAATGACTGAAATATAAAACTAGTGTCAGTATTTCTTGTTGAACTCAAATTTGATTAGAGAGTGTAGATTTGCAATGTATGTAGGTCAGTCGGAAAGTTTGTTGCACTACTGCGTAAATAAGTTCCATCTAAGACTATTTGGATGACACTGTGTGGCAACACTTCAGACATGTACCTTTATCGAGTGACCCCGAGGCAAGCTTAGTTTTTCTGATAATCCGTTGCAAACATGTCTTGACAGCTGCAAATAGCATCCAAATTAGAAATGTCTACAGTGATTCATTTTTTGTGAGCAAAAAGGTGCAACTGCTCTGAAATTTATGGGCATTTGCATGAAGTGTATGGTGAATGCAATGTCACGTCAAGCTATCGCGAAATGGTGCAACATGTTTGAGAATGGACGCACAGATACTGACGACGCTGAGCGCGATGGAAGACCATCAACTGCGACAAATTCGGAAATTGCTGCTTGCGTGAATGAATGCATTCTTGCAAACAGACGCATAACAATAGATGAAATCTCAAATGAAATGGATATTTCTCATGGAAGTGTGCATAAAATTATTGCGATCACCTTAAATTTCCTAAAGTTTGTGCTCAATGGGTGCCACGTCCGTTGACGGAGGAACATAAAAAAAAAAGGCATTTTGAAAGTGAATTTGCATTTCTGCAGCTTTACCAAACAAAAGGAAATGAGTTTTTGGACAAAATTGTGACTGGAGATGAAACTTGGATTCACCACTTCTCACCTGAAATGAAATGCAGGTTGCTCGAGTGGAAACATTGCAGTTCCCCAACACGAACAAAGTTTCGAACTGTTCCATATGCAGGAAAGGTGATGATGACGCTGTTTTTCGACAGAGAAGGCGTGGTGCATACAGAAATCATGCCGAAGGGTGCCACAACTAATGCATCTTCTTATTGTGAAGCACTAAAATGATTGCAGAAATCACTTAAAAATTGATGGCCACGTAAACTGTCGAAAGACATTGTGCTCCTGCATGACAATGCAAAACCGCATGCAGCAAAACAAACGTGCGAACTTCTGAAAAAGTTTAGGTAGAAAGTGTGGAATCACCCTCCTTATAATAGACCTTTCACCTCCTGACTTCCATGTATTTGGTCCCATGAAACCAGAACTTTCAAAGCGAAGGTACCATTTGGATGCCGAAGTGAAAGCTGCAGCCCAACAATGGTTATCGGACACTGGATGGGATTTCTTTGCAGAAGGCATCGAAAAACTTGTACCACATCTCGACAAATGCTTATAACGGAGGTAATTATGTTGAAAAGTAGATTTTGAATGGAACTTTAAGATATAAATAAAGTTATTGTAAAAATTTTGCTCCTGTTTTTATTTAATTATTTTTATTTATTTATTTTTTTTCCTTAGGCAGTGCCACTAACATTTTGACTGATTCTCATAATCAATTAATAATCTGAATGCAATTTAAGTAATTGTGCATTATTTTGCAAAATTCCTTTAATGTGGTTAATATAAGTGTTACATTTTCAGTTAGCTACTTCATGTGTTAGTGTAGTTTGTAACTGCTATTATTACATATATTTATGGGTTTATAAGTGGATAACATTGCTGAACATTGGTTTTCCCTGTGTGTAATGTGAATATAATCCATTTCTTCTGTCAGATATTTGTAATGGGTTGATGAAAGTTTGTCCCATTAGTGAAGATTCAAATTACAAGTGGGTTTGACATTTGTATATGACACTGTGATAATGAAAATTTTCAGTCAATTAAAACATTTAGACAGACAGCATACAAAGGCAATATGCTTGCCTTTGTAAATTATTCATATAGTGTCAAAGGCCCACCAGCGGCCAAAAACGGTAACGTCGCTGAACACTGGTAGTTCGGTCCGAGGTTCGAAATGGGCTGGCTGCATTGGTGTTTTCGTGGTTTTCCGCATGTGTAATGTGTATACGAGCCAGTTTCCCTTAAAAAGTCCTCCATGAAGGCATCCCTCCCTTAAGGCAGATAGCCCTCGAGTGCTTTGTCGTAATCTAATAAACCAAACCATATAGTGTCAAATGTTTAAAATGGATAATGTACATGTGAGCCATTGCTTGTTGTTCCAGTATGATTGAAGTGGTACTGCAACCCTCAGTAAGTTATTTCCCTGGCTTTGTTTCAGAATGCCATTATTATTATTATTATTATTATTGTTATTGTTATTAGAGAATTTACACTGGCTCTTCAAACCTTGGATGATACAACATTACGATTTTTTTAAAAAATTCTATATCAATATTTTTATTGATGTAAGATTATTTTACTGCAAGGTAGATGGCAAGAAGCCATAATAAGTTATGGCTATTATATGAAAGCATATGTATCTTTTTCACCTAAAGGAATGGGATGAATTTGTTACATCAGTCTAATAATTTGTCTCAGAAGACATCTAGTATCTATGAGAACGAGCAATCTGAACAGAAAAGTTTTTTTTCTTAACCTGTAGTTTATAGGGGGAAGAAATTGGCTTTCTTGAGTTTATTTTAAAATTTAAAAAATGTGAAAATGTTGGTTTTAGTAAATAGTTTTAAATTGTTATATATCTGTGTAGTTTATGCTGTTTTTCTTCATAGTATTTCTGTGAAATACTCTGAATTAAAAGTAAGTTGATTAAGTGGTTGTTGGCAAGTTGCTTTCATTACTTCTTCAGTAGAATGTCTTAGAAGGTACTCGGTACCTGGGAAAAGAACAAATGCCAATGAAAAGCACTGAATTTTTATTTAAAGTGGAAAGAAACTAATATTCTTAAATTTAAAATTTAAAAAACTTGAAAGGATTCATTAGTTTTAGTGAATAATTTTTTTAAATGTGAAAAAATTTCAGTTTTCTTTATAATTATTTCCACTGCAGAAGGCCATAAAAAGTCACAGATATGTTGGTAAGATCTATCCACAGATAAAATGTGAAAAGAAAATGTAAAAACATGGGACACAAAAAAAAAAAAAAAAAAATATGCTACTGGCCATCTAAAACCAACAGCATGAGAATAAAAACTATTAGAGTCATTTTTACTGAACTGTAAGATGCAAAGATAAATTGGTTATAGTTAAAGCCCATTCAACTTGCAGAACACGAAGAAATTACATCATCAATCACATATTTTGAGAACTCTCCTTGGTTGGCTTAAACCTCTTGGTAACTGCTTAAACATACCTCAGTATTGCAAAAAAAATTTTTTTTTTTTTGGATGTGTACATAGGCTATACTAGTCTAAAATTAATTTGGCATAGCTATGAATGGTGTATGCTGGTCCACTGTATGCTTTATGAATCATCAGCCAGATGTGTTTGATGCATGACAGCCAGATGTGTTTGATAGCATTTTACTAGTGTGGAAGAATGAGTGAATTAAGACTGCACTGAGATCTGATCGGTGTGAAGTACTGTTGAATGTTGCAGGCCATGTGTAGTCATGCACTGACCTGTTGAAACTTGGCTGCAGTCTCTTAGCTTTGAAGGTTAAGTGAGCCATATAGGCTCCAGAACTTAAGATATAAATTCAGTAACTATTGAATATGCTGGTAATGTATATTAAACAGATGCAGGAGTGTCAAAATAAGCCTCTTATGGGCCGTAGACATGGAGTTTCATTTATATAAGTGGTTTACTTAAAATTTTTATAATAATATCGAATATAAACACCAATACAATAATTGTATTTACCATACAATTTCTGATATAAGGAGAATTATTTTAGGTTAGATAATTATAGTTATTTAGCTGATTTTAAAATATTATTATTATTATTATTTTTACTTTAGATTTCCATTTCAGAAAAATGATTAATGATATCTTCACAGT